TCGGAATCTCAATCTCAACCTGACTCCGGAGGAGAAACGGGTCTTTTATCAACTCTTCCAGGCCGCCGATACCACCAACCTCGGCGTCATCACCGGCGAGGTCGCGGTTCCTTTCTTCGAGAAGACCCAGTTGGCCCCGGAAACCCTCGGCTTGGTATGTCGTTGCCTACCACTCTCGGGGAAAGCTTTCCCCCGCGCACATCGCAATCGGATTCGGACGACTAACTGGATCATGGCGACGTGATACAGATATGGCAGATCGCAGACAAAGAAAACCGGGGTCTATTGACCCCTTCTGGGTTTGGTGTCGTCATGCGGCTGATCGGACACGCTCAGGCGGGTCGCGCACCTACAGAGGAACTGGCCTTTCAACGTGAGTGAACGCTAGGTGCTCGTTCTGGCCTCGATAGAACAAAAAATCAGAGTGCAACCTTTGCTGACATTGCTCGCCGTTGCAGCTGGACCCCTGCCCAAGTTCGAAGGGATCGTTGTCGATGCCACCCCGAATCCGCGTGAAGCAGGCACTACCAGCCCTACTCCGGGCGCAAACGCGCCGATCCGGGTCCCTCCGCTGAACCCCGACGATGTGAACAAGTTCTTGTCGCTGTTTGAGAAATCGGATGTGTCCAAAAGTGGGGTACTTCCAGGTACATACATATGCCCCTCCAGCCAGCGCCCCGAGGCCGACAAGCCGTGGACACAGTCGCTAACAAGATCATCATGACAGGCGAGACAGCTAAGCAGATCTTCGAGCGTGCGCGGTTACCGAACGAGATCCTTGGTCGCATCTGGAACCTGGCGGATAGAAGGCAACAGGGTGCTCTAGATGCTACGGAATTTGTCATTGCCATGCACCTCCTTACGTCCTACAAGTCCGGTGCGATGAGGGGAATTCCTCAGACACTTCCACCCGCTCTCTATGATGCTGCCGCTCGCCGAGGCTCCCTCCGCTCGTCGGTCGGTTCCCGTCAAGGTCTTGAGGTTCCTCCGGTGCCTGCGATTCCGAAGCAATTCACTGGACCCCAGCGTACGCAGAGTCCGATCAATAGGCAACCGTTCGGCTCCCCTCTCTCCGCCCAAGCTACCGGTGGCGACTGGCTTATCTCGCCGCAAGAGAAGATTATGTTTGACAACATCTTTGCTACGGTTGATACGGCCAAGGCAGGTTCAATTAGTGGTGACCAGGCTGTCGCTTTCTTCCTGGGTGCACAGTTGCCTGAGGAGACACTCGCTCAGATTTGGGATCTCGCAGATATAGATGCGGACGGACAGTTGACCAAGGATGAGTTTGCCGTCGCCATGTATCTGGTTCGCCTAACGCGTAGTGGAAAGGAGGCGCTGCCTCAGACATTGCCTCCCGCCTTGATCCCTCCGAGCATGCGCCGCCCTGGATCTTCGCATTTCGGCCCAGCAGCTCCTATTCCTGCCCAGGCTCCAGCTCCGGCTCCGGCTCCAGCGCCGGTTCCCACACCACACTCGGCGGCTGACGATCTGTTTGGCCTAGATGCGCTTTCTGCGCCAGCACCGGCACCGCCGGTAGCTCCTTCCCAAATTCCGCAATCCACCGGGGGTTCGAATGCCGCCTTCCAGACTCCCGGTTCCCCCGGCTCGAGAGCATCTCCCCAGGCTCCCTCAACTACCTTCAAGCCGTTTGTGCCGACTTCATCTTTTGGACAGACCCTGCAGCCACAGATGACTGGCGCTTCAGCTGGTGCTCCGCCACCCGTTAGGTCGCCGCCGCCCCCAGCGGATGATCTTTTGGGAGACAACGACCCTGAAGAGACAAACAAACTGACTCAGGAAACCACCGAGCTTGCAAATCTGTCTAATCAGATCGGTTCGCTGGCTACTGAGATGCAGAACGTCCAAACGAAGCGAACATCTGCCGAGCAGGATCTGTCGCAAACCTCGCAGCAGAAGAGAGACTTCGAGGCTCGTCTGGCTCAGGCCCGCTCGATGTACGAGCAAGAAGTGAAGAACTTCAAAGCTTTGGAGGAACGGCTCAAGGCTTCACGGGCAGAAACTGGCAAGTTGCAGCAGGAGTATGCCTTGATCGAAGGAAGCCGTCAGGATTTACAAAACCAGTATAACCAGGTATCAGCTGCACTCAGTGCTGATCAGCAGGAGAACGTAAGTTTGAAGGAGAAGATCCGACAAGCCAACGCTGCAGTTGCTCAGCTCAAGCCTGCCCTCGATAAGGCTCGCTCAGAGGCCCGGCAACAAAAGGGTCTTGTCGCGATCAATAAGAAGCAGTTGGCAACTGTGGAGGGAGAGCGCGACAAGATCCAGCTCGAGATCGATTCTTTGTCCAAGGAGCAGCCTGAAGCGTCGGAGGAGAGAGTTGTCAGTCCAAGTGATGCGGCTCCTGTTATGAGCCCAGCCGAGTCGACGACGAGTCAAAACACCAACCCGTTCTTCAAGCGTACGGCTACTGGATCGAGCGAGGGCAATGCGCTATCTCCGCAGATTTCTGGCGATCAGCAGCGTGCCTTTGATAGCCTGTTCGGTTCCGCCTTCACCTCACCACCGACAACCGCTACACCACCGCCTCCAGTGTCTTTCCGGGCTGAATCTCAGCCCACGTCTGGGGTGCCCACTCCGTCAGTGTCTCCGCCTCCATTCGCTCCTGGTCCTGGGTTGGAGCCTCCTGCCCCGGCTCAGTCTAGGCAACTGACACCGGGTGTGTTGCCTCTTGGAGAGACCCATTCGGCAACTTCTTCAACAAAGGTCTCGCCCCCAGGTAGCAGATTTGGTGGTCAAGACACGGCCAGTCTAGGAACAGCCTCACAGGCAGCAACCAGTGAAGTGGCAGGTCCTTCGTCGGCACAGCCCGCCACCTCTCCGTTTGATGAAAGCGAGGAATCAAAGGAGCGACTCCCCGAGATTCCAACCATCGCCGCAAGTGAACAACCTGCGGTTGGCGCTGTATCACCTTCTGGAGATGACAAGCCTGCAGAGCGCAAAGATCTCAGCTTTGATGAACTGTTCGGCGGGCCAGCACATCAGCGCTCTAAGTCACAGAAAGAGAATGATTTTGAAGAAGCCTTTGCTGCCATGAAGAGTGGGCCTGGAGCAAGCAAATTGAACGGAGCCCCGGCCGCCCCTGAGTCAGAGTTTCCTCCCATTCGCGAACTCGACGATGGAGATGAGAGCTCCGACAGCGAAGCCCCCTTGGGCTTCGAGGATGATTTCGCCCCCGCCTTCCCTCCGCAGACTCAAATCGCCGCAGCACCCAATCCTGATTCTATTGAGCCGTCCCAACTGGCAGCGTTCCCCACTCCTGGCAATGCGGATACAGCAAGCCAGCCTCCTGCGGCGGAATCGCAGCCAAGCCCCCCAAAGTATGAGGACTCCGTTGAAAAGCAGGAGCCAGGAGACTTGCCACGCGAGTACAACGGACTCCTACCGAACCGTGAAGACCCAACCACTGCCCCCGATGCTCCACACTCAGTAGAGTCAAGCACAGGGGCACCGATTGTGGGTGGTGAAGCCCAACGTGACGGGACAAAGGAACCCGAGGCTGCTCCCCAAGGGGCCAAGGCAGGCGCGCCTGACTTTGAGGCTGCTTTCGCTGGCCTCAACCTTGCTCCAGCAAAGGAGGCCGAAGATGAAGATGACGACTTTGAAGCGCCTGATAACGCCAAAGCCGGTGTGGACTTCGATTTCTCATTCGACAACCCGTCAGCACAGAAGACCTCTCGGCATCAAGGTGCGGATGTCGCATCCTCAGATTTTTTCAACTTTGACAAGAACGTATCTTCCTCGCCTCCTGGCTCTGCTGCACCGCCTTCCGAGCCCAGCGCGAAACCTCAGACTCACGACTGGGAAGCATTGTTTGCTCCTCTTGACAACGCCAATGCTGCTGCTGACGGAGCAAACGGAACGGGCAATTCAGAAGCCAGCAAGGAACCCGGCTGGGCTCTTCAGACGGGCACCGAAGACGATCAGATTCTCCAGCGACTGACAGGCATGGGATTCCCCAGAGAAGAATCCCTCTCAGCTCTGGAGAAGTTCGACTACAACCTTGACAAGGTATACTATCAAACTACCAATAGAGGAAGCTTCCGTGCTAACTGCTTATCATAGGCCGTAGACCACCTGACTTCCAAGTCTTGATTTACATCCATAGCCTCTTCTATTTTTCGATCAGTGCACATATTTTTTTTTATTCTATGAGCCCTTCACTCGCTCCAAATGTTTCCTTCCCCCTTAATTCCTCCCACCTTACGTCCCCTTCCTTACTTTCCTTTTCCTTGACTCATACGTGATCCAGCTTGCATGTTGTTATTGCTGCAATGTATATCCCTTTTCTTTCAGCGGTGTGCGCCTTACCCACATCACAGTCAACTATATTATGACCTACACTTATCATCATCGCCCCGTGTAATTTAGGAACACAATTATTGGATTATTTATGAAGAAACGAAGTGCAGAAGGACAGCGGATTCATAAAGGAAGCAACGACCAAGGCCAGGGTAGAGCGGCCGGGGGCAATTACTATATCTGTATACTGTACCTTTTGATCTGCCTTTTCGCGCCTTCCTTGTTTTGTATTTAGTATATTGCATAGCTCATGTCTGGCAAAGTAATCCGTAATACGATACTGTCATTGCTCAAAGTGAAACAACAGTTCATATGCTCGAGAATTGTTCCATAGCATTATCTATTTAATTACTATCTGAAACGAGCCGTCTGATCGCTAGGAATTTAGGTTAGGTTTGGTCCGAGCTTCTTTGCCCAGGTGTGGATGTGGGTCTGACATTGACAACAGAATGGACATGCCAATATAGAGTAGTCTACATGTAATGCGGGTCATGAAGAGAGTGCATGGAGCTTGCTTACATGTGATAGTTAGTGTCTAGTTGATAGTGGTTTGTGGATATGATATGTCATAAGAGACGTATCATAATAATTGTATTGGTATCCTTCATTCTCCTGTTGCAAACACAGCGCAGCGGATTAGATAATATTTATCCAGCTAGCAAGGAATACCAAAATTTTTAGGGCCTAGCCTTGATCAGCAGTATTGATTGTTCACAGTCTAATTCGGCTTACAATCATTATAGGGAAACCTCGGACAGAAGATCCAAGCGATGTATACGTAGCTCCAAAAAGCGATACAATGGTTGATAGTAACGAACTAAGCCTCTAATGAATGCAGCGATCCGTAATCTGGACGCGGTGACAATATACATGAATTCAGACCACGGTATTTGTCTTGAAACCAAGATAAACCGAGTTCGACGCATCCAGCTAGAGGCGCACTAGACACCGCGGGTGACTTGACCACTCTCCATACCTTTCAGCGAGCTTGTCACATGCTGCGAAGATACACGTTGCATCATAACCACTGTTTATTATATTGAGTGAGTCCATGTATGTGGTCGCAAAAGGTAAGGAGAGATTCTTACTGAAATCTTCGATAGAACGTTGCTTAGCGGTTCTCACGGGACTCTTGCCATGCATAATGTTGTCGAAGCTCTTGGAGCCCTGTAGCAGATAATACAGACCACCCATTATGCAGAATACCCCAAAGGAGAAAACGTAGATGCGGAGGATCGTAGGCCACGAGGTTGGTCCACCAGCAAACCAGCCAAATACGCAGAAGCAGGTTGCCACGAGATCAACAGCTGCAATAGCTCCTATTAGTTTCCAGGATGGCCGTTTCGAAGCCCAAAAAGCCCCATCTGATCGGGTTATGAAGATGAGCCAGTTCTCTGTCAGCGAGATTTCCAGGAACAAAACCTCATCTCGCTTCCCGTAGTCTTGCATTATGCCACCATTTTCCCCAGCAGTAAGAATTGTAGTGAGAGTGATCCATGTGCCTACGGCGAGTACAATACCGAGAAGGATAGACATCCCCCAAAGTTTCGGAAGGTTCCATTTTACAGGAGTCTTAGAGAATGGAGCAGTGTCATAGGCAATCGCCAGCGTCGCAATATCGGCAAAGATGGCGATGAATACCACAAGCTGCAGGTTAAGGCTTTCGTTCCTGGTGGCTATCCAGAATCCTAGAAAGATCTCCAAGTGTAGCGACAGTGCAATCCTATATACCACGTAAGCGTACATGCGGTGGAATATCTGGCGCGAGGTCTTCAAAGCATCAATGATCGCAGACAAGCCGGGAGCGAGAAACACAATATCAGCCGCTGATCGCGCAGCATCTGAGGAACCTTCCACTGCAATTCCAGTATCAGCTTTCTTGAGTGATGGAGCGTCGTTGACTCCGTCGCCAGTCATGGCAACCAAATATCCGCGCTGTTGTAAGATGTCCACCACGTTGTACTTGTGCTCGGGGAAGACCTCCGCGAATCCATCGGCAGCTTCGACGAAGTCGTAAACTTCAGATCCGGACATTGTTCCTCCACCACCGAGCCCAAGGCGCTCTGCATTGTAGACATTTGTGCCCAATCCTAGCTGCCGTGAAGTTTCGCGAGCGATTCCGACAGCATCTCCAGTCAGCATTTTAATAGAAAGCCCCAGGGTCTGCGCTTCCTTGATAGTCTTTGCAGTATCATGTCGTGGAGGATCTGAACAAGGCATTATACCCAAGATCTCCCACGCGCCATCACCGCACTTCCGAGCCACGCCGAGCGAGCGGAACCCACGAGTGGCAAACTCTGCCACTTTGTTCTTGTATGCCTGTTCAATATCCTCCTCTATCTGATGATCCTGCTGGACTGTCTTCAGTACAAACAAAGGGGATCCCTTGACACAAGTGATTCGTTCACCCTGAGGAGATTGTACTACTGCCGTGACCTTTTTTGAGACCGGGTCAAATGGGGAGAAATCGAGCACCTTGAACTGCGGGAGCATCGTTTTGGCGTCTGGGTACTCGTTTAAGGCCTTGAAGAAAGCTCTGTCGATGGCATCCATACCCTTCTTCTTTCTGGAAGCAGCTAAGCATGCTGTGAGCATAAGGTCCTCAGGGTTGACTCCAGCTACCGTGTATGGCTCTGTCAATGATAGTTTATTCTTTGTCAACGTGCCGGTTTTGTCAGAACAGAGTATCTCGACTCCGGCGAGTGACTCAATGGCAGAGAGCTTCTGAACAATTGCTCTTTTCTTTGCCAGATATGCTGCACCAACAGCCATCGTGGTCGTAACGACAGCTGGCAAGCCTACCGGAACACCAATCATAGTGATGGCCAGGGTGAATTCAAGGATAGTTGTTGTGTTGTTTGAACGGTAGAATGACGATACCCAGACAACAATCAAGGTTATGACGACAAGGACAAGGAGGACAATACTAATACCATGGAGGACTTCAGTGAAGTGTCCGGTGCCTGTTGACGCAGCATTGACCAGCGCCGCAGCACGTCCTACAGATGTCCAGTTGCCAGTAGCTGTAATGAGAATTCGGGCGTAGCCGCGCTTCACGGTAGATGATGCGTAACATACATCTCCTTTGTGCTTGTCAACTGCCAGCGACTCGCCCGTCACAGAAGATTGATCGACTTGAATAGGTGAATTGGTCATCACTTTGCCATCTGCAGGGATTATAGTGCCCTGTGGGAATGATTAGAGACTGTAGGCAGTAAGCGACGCCACAGGATCGTTACCTCGTCGACTTTCACTATGTCTCCAGGGACCAATTCAGCTGCATCGACATCTGCCATCTTGCCATCCCGCAACACAACAGCCCTGAGCGCTAGTGATTTCTTTAGCTCTTTGACAATAGACCCAGCCTGAAAATCCTGGACAAATCCCACAGACGCATTGAGCAGAAGGAGGCCACAGATAACCCCTAGGTCTACCCAGTCTCGGAGATAAGCAGCTAATACGGCTGCAGCCTGAAAGCGTATATATTAGCGGAAGGAAAAATTATGGGAGGATCCTCATTTCTTAGTGTGCGTACCTCCATCACAAACTGCACGGGTCCAACAAAGAAAGACACGAATTTCAGTGCGAGGTTTTCTTTCTCCTCCTTCATCTCATTGGAGCCAAATCTTTTGCGACGGAGGATTGCCTCAGTTTCATCAAGGCCTGTCATGGGATCTGTCTGAAGTAGGTTATCCGCGATAGGGCGGAGTCGACCGGTTTGATGGCTCTCCTGTGTGTTTAATTCCGCACCGCCATCCACGGACTCCAACTCAACGATGAGAGTGTCAATGTCTTCTTCTTCTTCTTCACCTTCATCGTTATGGATGTCGGCCGGTGCTTTCGCCTCTCTCGATATCTTTTCTTCATACTCATGCTCGGTGTCCATGTCCTTGGGGTAAGTAAAGGACATCACAGTCGTAAATGGAATACTTGAAGGCTATAATCAGGATCGCAGTAATCACATATGAACGATAAGGGTCTTTGAGGATAGACGTGAAGGACCAGTTAGCCTATGACTGTGTAAGATATGGCATCCTCCAGAAAAATATGAAGAGAAAATGCCAATACTGGTATCGAACGACAAGATAGCAATAGTCATAGGACGGAAGGGACGTCGTCAGGAGCAATGGAATGCTATGATTGAATCCTAAAAAAGGCAAGTCCTAATCAATCGGTAGTAGTGGAAGGAACCACCAAGATGCGACCAGCGTTACTGTATCTGGCGACAATCAGTCTGGCAAACGCTACTATAAACTGATAGAGCGCTTAAGCCCAAAGAAAGTAACAGCAACATCATGCTGATGACGCGAGTAGTGCTACTACTAGTAATGCTTAGTAGTACTAGAAATGCCTGTTCCATTTCGGTCTGATAAAGTATCATATATTGTAGTAACAAGAGCAAGTGATGCTAGAAGTATCAAACCCAATCAAGTTAGCACATTAATAACAAGAAACTTTCCAAGTATAGTGACAGCCTAAGAAAGTGATGATCTACCCGAGTGATATCTTCTCTTTGTCAAGATCAGAGTGAAGAACAGAACCGAGAAAGATGAAGGTATACAAAGAGGAGAGACAGGGAAGGGACCAATGAGGACCATTAGATTACATAATCCAGCACCCGACGTCATGTCAGTTTCATTTGATGACTCTCTTGCGATGGAGAACTTTACGTTCGCAGAGTCTTACTGATCAACACGGTGCCTGATCCTTAGTTAACCCAGACTGCTCGCCAGCTGTGAAGACGTTGATCGCGACTGTTGCAGGTGAGGAAGGTGAGAGCAGTGCTGTTTCTAGTGTGTTGCGCATGATGAGCAGGATCACGGTCAAGTGATCTGCACCGACCACCGACTTCGAAACTAGAATGCGTCAACCCTGAGACGCGCCCCTCATCAAAACTATAATACGCACCCTCTATTCTTATCTGATCACTCCTTAACCAGAAAAATGAATAGGGATATTCCAGGGTTCTACTATGGTAAATGACGTGGTTCTATCTTCATCCGGTGCATCGATCATTGACCGCTCAATAGACCCCGAAAAGAAAAAGTACTTCAAGATCCAGGCCAATCACAAGGCCACTCCAGGATCGCAATACACCCAAGATACGGTCAAGCGGAAGCGCGTAGACCAGGAGGTAGGTGTTCACCCTTTTCAGGGTCTCCTATAACCTACTTACCTTTTAATAGAAGCGCCAAAGGAAAATCCATCTGACGAAAAGAGCCACGAAAGAGAAAATCAAAAGGGCCGCTTTTTTGTCAAACCCTCTACTGGGAGTGCAGAGGGAGATTGGTTCTGAACTTGTATCTTCCAGCATCCGACAAGAGCAGAGGAGCGTGATTTACGCAAGCCAGCTTCGTCGAAACCAACTTCACCAATTCGAGCCGTGGCCTGATGAGTATACCATCAAGCATGTGCTGCGCAACAAGCGCTCAGGCATCTTGATAGCCAGTAAGCTGTTCCCTACGTATAGGTTATTCCACCGATACAATCTAACAACTCAAAAGGTGGCCATCGTGGTGGTGAATCGTCTGTTTCGTAAGCTCAACCTTCCGTCCTGCGCGGTCGTGTATCCGGCAAGCTAACCGCCAACCAAGGGTATGCTTCCCGGATTGCGACCAAGATAAATGGACATATAATCGCACGATGGAGCGCGTCCTTTTCAAAGAGCCATACAGAGTATATATACCAGCACCCGTCCTTATCACAAACACACACTAACTCGCTCCCTGCAGCTTTCCTCCGTCTCACTAAGCCACACCGGCTACCTACTGTACGAATCAAGGACACCATCCCCCATCCTGTGATTGCTAGATAGCTGACAGGATTAGGGCGACGATGGATAGCGGTCCAGCCGGCGATTCATTCCTGGCGCCGCGAATGCTGCCCGATCCCGACGAAGGTGGAGATTACCGGTGGCCCACGTCGTGTACGTACCTAGATAGCAAGCCCACACTTTCAGTCGTTGCACCACAACGATCAAGCTTGCTAACTTGCGACCTATTACGATCCAGTTTACCATCCAATCCGTCTCCGCACATCATCATCCCTATGGTGTTCGTCCGCTTGCCCAACCGGGGAGATGCCGCTCTTCGCCGTCGGGACCTCGGACGGACTATACACACTAGAGGGATTTGGCAGCTACTGGGCATTGTCGAAGAAGTCCTTCCCGAACGACATACTAACAGGAAAACCGATCATACATCGCCGAGTGGACTCTTCCCATGCTATCGTCACGAGTGTCGAATGGCTCTCATCCGATGTAATAGCCGCTGGTCTCAAAGACTCGGCCATATTCCTCCACGACCTGCGCAGCGGAGGCAGCGCAACCCGACTCCAACACCCTCACGCAGTCACCAAGATGCGAAGAGTAGATCCTTACCGGATCGTCGTGGCGGGTATAAACTCGGTACGTGTTATGCCCTTCTCACCGACGGGCCGGCATATACCTTGATAAGTATTGTATCTGACAAGAGTCGAACTACAACAGCTCCAAATGTACGATATCAGATACCCGGCTAACGGCCTCCAACGCAATCCACAACCCAACAAGAAACACCACACATCGACTAAGCCGTATCTTACATTTGCGGACTATTCGCCTGAAGGAATACCGGATTTCGACATCAGTTTGGAACTTGGGCTCCTCGCTAGTGGTGTGTAATCCTTTTACCTCTACCTTCCCCCCCCCCTCCCTCTCTCTCTTCAGCTATTCTACCTATCCCAGGTGGACGATGCCGACGATTCACTGACAACCCACTCTAGCATCCGACGAGCGAAAGATCCAGCTCTTCTCTCTCCGCACCGGCTCACAAGTCTCGTCACCATTATCAGGTTATCAATACGCGAACCCCATTTCCTCAGTCTGCTTCGAGCCCGGAGACGGTTCCCTACATGGACCCCAAACACCTAGCTTATTAGTCTGCGCGCAAGCCACGGTGGATGAATGGATATGGTCGAACACGCCAAAGACGAAATGATTCATATGACAAGAAAAAAGAATGCTCTATTCAATGCAACGCTCATTGGGAATATAACTAGAAATACACGAGTCAAGAATGGATGAATGAGCATGAACACAAAACCCAGAATGATTCCAGATTGCATGCGTCACAATTATATCCCATCCATCGCGGAGACAGGGAGGATGTTAATCCAACCCTCCGGCCAACCACTCGCCAACCTCGACCCCTACTGTCTTGGCCAACTCTCCGATCCAATCACCCGAGACATTGACGCACCATTTCTCGCCAGCATCCGAGGTCGTGTTACCGCTACTTAACCCTCCTGACCCGAGCCCCATGCGACCGCCGCTATCGCGACCTGCCGCTGGCACCACGAGCCGTAACCGACGTAATGTAGCAAGCTCCGCATATATCGCATCGGAAACGGCCGCCAGTCGGATAGGATTTGCAGGGGGATTAGGGTCAATGGCGTGGTAGATAGCGATCAGTCGCTCAAGCGGGAACGGACGGGCTGTTAGGATTGTGGACGGACCGGTGATACCGGCGTTGCCGCCCACAGCTGAAGTAGTGGCAGAGGAAGTAGCAAAGGCAGACACCAGAGTCGATTTTGTGATTCGAGTCTTTTCTCTTTTGCCTTTCTTGCTAGGGGTTGACGGGCCTCGGCTCGCCTCCAGCCTATCCTCTGCCTGCGCCCGGGAAAGCACCTTCAACCGTCGTCTGTGATGCGCGCGTTTATTCCGCGCAGATAAGGAAGAGGAAGAGAATTTCGAAAAGAAGATGGTATCAAGTCTTTGGGGTGTATGCGAGGCAAGGTATGCGGAGGTCAAGATCAAGGTCGGGAAGTAAGGTAGGGAAGGAAGGGGTGAAGGGGCCGAGACGACCGACATTGACGGCTTCGACAGGGAGCCATCATTTGCGGGTGCGGATTCTTCGGTGACAATGTGATGTACAAGAGCGCCTTCGCCTTGATGGCGGAATAAAGCACGGTTTTTGACTAGAAGTCGCGAGAAGTCCCATTCGTTGCTTCCTCCGGGCGGGATATCGCCGTTGGTAATAGGAGCCACGAACTGAGGCCAAATCTTCTCACATATCGATCTGAACGTAGGAATCGAACTCGCTGTAGGCCCAACCAGGGAATCATAGATAGCGGACACAAAATGCGGATATAATCTCGAAGCAGCCCCGTCGTCCAGACCACTCACGACCGGCGGCCCAGCATTCAAAATAATAGTAATCGCCTCTTTGCGCGTATACGGCGGAAAGCTAATATGCGGAACACCCGCAGCCTGAAGAAACAGCGGCCGCGGACTAGAGCTGAGGATAAGGACGACACACAGGGCCGGAATCTGCGGAGTAAACAATCACCTCATTAGCAAGGACTCTCCACCAACAAAACGAACTAGAAAAAGAAAAGACAAACACATACCACTTCTCCCAACCTCGCCAGCGCAGACAACAGCGTATGCGGAGCTTCACGCTGCTTATCTATCCCATCCAAAACCAGCACAAATTTGCCCTTGTCGTTGCTGCTGCTGCTGCTGCTGTTGCTGTCCGACAACGAAGCAAGACACTCGCCCAGCAGCACAGCCAGAGAGCTAACATGCTCGCATCTTCCCTTGCCGTATTTCTCCCATTCGTCGCGTTTCCCTAGCGCTTCAAGGGTTGCCCAGAGGATCTTCGTTAACAAGTGACGGCCAGTGATGCATTCGGGACTCCGGACAATAGCATGTGGTACTTCGAGGGCAGCGAGGACGTTGCGGACGATGGTCGTTTTGCAAGTGGCGGATATTCCATGCACGACTAATGTAGATGGGCTGGAGATCCTAGGCTATTCGGTCGCGTTCTATATGTTAGCTGTTTATTCGGGGTTGTTCAAAAGGAATTCGGAGGATCTGGGGGAGAAAACATACGCCGAGAAGACTGGCGAGCTGCCTGGTCTGGAGCTCTCGACAAGGCCATTGTTTGCTGAGCGACCGGCTGATTTCTGATGGAAGCATAGATATGAGTGGCAGCCTCTCGAAGGCCTATATATTCCCTGATCAAGCTTGAAAAGAGTCGGAGAGGCGTAGAAAAGGAGAATGGTAAACGCGATCTCTCAACTCGAGGTTTCGGCTTTCGCAGCGATCAATGAAGA